GTTAGGATTGAAACCCAAAAAATGAAAATCCACAAAAACAGTTTAATTTTTAATGCGATTAAGAAATTATGCATATCCCATAGATCAAAATAGGTTTATATGTTTCAGATATATACAAGCAGGCAATTACAGTCAAATAAACAACCCTGATTTCCATAATGTATAAATTGACAAATGGCTATTCGCAAAGACAATTGAATCTATAAAATTTTGATCAAAAGATTTCAACATAATCGAAACAATTAAAGGGATTGTAAAGAGGTTTTCTAAATTATTTATGCATATCAGGGACACTGATAGCATCAATTTGCACCATTCCTATTTTTCATCAGACGTCTGTGATTCCTGCAATTCCACTACAACTAAGTAATTATGACGTCACCCCATGAAATTTGCTTGTATCACATAAGACTTTTGCGGAGGTGAAGACATAAAAAACTGAGTTGTAGTAGAATTTCTAGAATCACAGATGTCTATAATACCTTTAAATTAATCTAAAAAGAAAGGTGAGCTATACCTCTGGTAACAGTGTCATGATAAAATTCATCTGTTTTTTCTCCAAATTCTGTACAATATGTGTTAAACATCTTAATCTTGGCTGAAAGATACACAATTATTATGAAAATAACTTCCCTCTGTAAACAAACATAAAACAGTAACTATAAATGTTGAAATAATGAGTTTTATCAAGAATCAATCCAAGGTAATATTAACAGACACACATCAGTTACTTACAGTTTTAGATGAAGGACTAGATTTGGATAAAGCTCCAGTTAATATTTTCTGTATTTTACTCAAGTTTTCTTGTACAAATATTTTACTTGTATCTGATTTCATTGAACAAATTTCTTCTAGGATTCTGTAAGATTTCTTCTGTAACTGATGATCGGTTGACTGAAATTTATTTTTAGATTCTAATCAGTTAATCATGATGAAATACATTTATTGTATGATAATTCACATGGATAGGATATATCAGAAATATCTTAGAAATCTGCATTAAAATAGACACATAAATAATCAATTTGCGTAAGAGATAAATGATATGGCACATGGTATCAACATTAATTTTTTAATTCATATATAGGCATACAGTCAATTGTAAAAGTTTGCTTTAACAATTACTTTAACCAACCAATAAATCAAAACCAACACCACCATCTCA